ATATATATAAATATATATATATATATATATATATATATATATATGTGCATGTGTCTACACAATATATAGACTCATACATTCATGCCCAGGTGCTAAATTAACGCGAATAGTATAAACCATAGTCGCACAACATTAAGTTAAGAAAAGACCAAAATACAAATAAGGAGATAAAGCAAAAAAAAAAAAAAAAAAACCTGTCAGCCAGTGATGGTAAAATCTAAGTAAAATTATACGAAACTATCATCTCGTTTTTACGAAAAAGTTCCAAAACAAAAGGTATTTAAAGACACTAACCTAAAATTAAAGTGCAGATGTCACCAAATACTTTAAATTTGTATTATAGTTAGTATAGCAGAAATGAAAGAAAGAGAAAAACTCAAGTAAAACTAATGGAAATATGATGAAAACGAAATATAAATTAAATGATAAAGAAAACCGCAATCCTTCCAACACACCTGTTTTCTTACCAATTAAAGGATTTGTAAACATATATTATATTATTCGAATGAATGCAAGTTTTCCAGTACGCAATCACTAGAGAGAAATAGTATTGGCAGCGCATAGAAAATCTTGAATGAATCTTTAGCAAATTATTACAATTACTAGCCGTTGTCTCAGCCAATATATGTAGAAGTTCCAAGTTTGATTTTCTTTGTTTTTTTATCAAATCGCAAAGTAATTGGAATGAAAAGGAAACCAATTGATAATAATGCACGTGTTAGTAAATTCGATGAGAGTTTAAGATGTTTGCACAGAATTTTTCAAGCGAGAATTGTTTGTCAATACATATACAATACATACGCAATTTTATATCTCTAACTTATAAGATAACAGACGCACTAGGCGAGGAAGAGAAAATATACAAAAAAAAAAAAAAATATACATATATACTTTTGATTGATATTACAAGCAGGTCTTGCAAACAGAACGATAAACTTATTATACAGTCAGCCGGCCAAGTTAAATATTATTTGTGATAAAATAAAATAACGCGAAGACATTATCATTGATTTCATTCATTCATGTATAAAATTGCAATAACAACAAAAATAAATATAAATAATATAAATATATATATATATATATATATATATATATATATTATTAAGCGTTTATTTTAAAGTTCATTTCAGTCTAGTTAACATACATAGTTAAAGACGTTTACTCTCATCGCATTGCAGTAAATATTGAGACTGCGAATGAAAACAAAAGTAGAAAAACGAAATTTTTGAAAACTGGAGCATTACAAACTAAATGCAACCAACCAGCAGTCATTGTGTTGGCCATTTTATGCATTTATTGATTTGCTTGTAGAAATACAAGTTTACATTTATGCTCGCAGTAGTAGTAACGTAGTAACGTATTTGTTTTGTTGCAGTGTAGTTTATCGTTTCATTATTTTCATATACAGCAATGGGATCGTACGGGGTATATATTAACTTTGTTAAAACGTTTGCAAAATGTAAGAAGAAAATCGTAGGGATTCTATAAAGTATTTATATTCTGGATAGGTATAAAATTTTGAATCGAATTCAATCTATCTACCGATTAGCATGCATAATATCATTCAGTAAAGATTAAATGCATTGTGATTGCAATAACATTGAAAATTCTTGCAAGGAAAGTTAGTATAGAAAGTGATCTAAATCGGTCAAAGGACCGACTAACCGCAAGACGATATCAATTTGCGAACAGTTGTGTTTTCAAAAAAAAAAAAAAAAAAAATGTATTTTTTTCTTCTTCATCATTAATAAACTAGAACAGAGATAATTTTGGTGAAACTTTCCAGGTCTATATCATGGGATATATATGCAAAAGGGGTTAGGCCGCGCCTAATCAACATTGTAGAATAAAAAATTTAAATTTTTATTTTTTGTACTTCTTTTATAATGGTCGGCCGTGGGGAGGGGGAAGGGGGGGGGGGGGGGGGGGCGAGGGGTAAAAAGGATTCGTCCATAACCGAATATAATTTAGTTACTTGTTTATTTATTTATAAATTTTTTTTTTTTCGATTTTGGCGTTGCTGTAATCATGCGGTTCAATAAACATAAGCCGGTCAGTGCAATCAACTAGTAGTTATCTTATTTTTTTTTCATACTTTTATATTTTGTATAACTAGTATTAACTTTATTTATTTATGT